TTAAGAAAGTCTGAGTTTTATTTGGCATTATATTTGAGGGGTTAATGAGAATAAAGGAAGAAACTAAAGATCAATCCCACATTCAATTTTAAGGACTCACAATAATGAAAGCACGCAGCCTGTAACCAATCCTGAAAGAATAAAATGTCATATGTTTGCAATATATAACATACATTATGGACACTTCTTATCAAAAGGAGATGGTCTGACTATCTGCAAAGTCTTTCCAATCTGAAGACTCCAGTACGTTTCATTGTGGTGTTTTTCCCAGTCCCAACCGAGAACTCTATGGACAAAACAAACAATACAGAAGGCTTTTTGGGACAAAGGAACCTCTGAGGGAGTGTGATGTTGGCCCTAAGAAACAAGTAAACTGGCCTAGTGCTCAACCAACATAGTGCTACCAATAGCTTGAAAGCCTCGGTACTTACATCTCAGACTAGATCAAGGATGCAATTTTCTTTAAGCTACAATTTAATGATTACACAGAAAATCACTGTTCTTCAGAGAGTAAATTAATACTATACTACTAAGTATTTTTAATGTGATTTTTATCTTTTGGTGAAGAAAGGGCCAAAATAATAATTAGAATTTTTAGAAATGAAAAGAGAGATGCATTCAAAGTTAATAAAACAAATCAGTCATCCAACTACATGTACTTTCAAAATAATTAACTCTGTCCAGGCTGCCAGGATAAACAAACAAACAAAAAAATTAGAAGCTTATATATAGGAAGATTTTTTTTTTTTGAGTTAGAGTCTCACTCTGTCATCCAGGCTGGAGTACAGTGGCACACTCCTGGCCACTGCAGCCTCGATCTGCTGGGCTCAGGTGATCTTTCCGCCACAGCCTTCTAAGTAGCCAGAACTATAGGTACGCGCTACCATGCCCAGCTAATTTTCTGATTTACTGTAGAGATGAAGTCTCACCATGTTGCCCAGGCAGGTCTCGAACCTGGGGGCTCAGGCAATCCGCTAGCCTTGGCCTCCCAAAGTGCTGGGATTATACGAGATACTTTTACTACAGACATCAAAAAAAGAAGAAGCTTCAGACATGTAGTGTTTCCTTGTAAGAGTCGTTTTTGAAACAAAAGTGAGAACTGCAGGGAAAAAAACCGTAAAAGTTGGTATTAAGTTAGATCAGTAGAGTCTGTTTAATATCTTTAGTAATTATATTATTTCTAAAACTTTCCACAAAAGGGCATTACAGTTCTTTAATTTATTGCAAACATATCTTTAAAAAAAAAGTCAACCCTACTAGTGAAGCTATAATACAAATTTTTAATTATTCTCACTATACTATAAAGCACAATGAAGAACATCTTATTTACATAAAAAGAGGATAACATTTCACTGGGCAACAAATCCAACAGATTTTTTTTCCTTTCCATTATCTACATCTGATGGTGATATTCCATAGGCTGATGCTAAATAGATGCAAGTGTTTTTAAAATGAAGAAAAAGCCATGTTTTGCTCAGAAATACTATTGTTCACATACCATATAGGTTGTTTTATAGCAGATACTAGTTTGCCAAGCTTCGGATGGCAAAATGCTAAGTTGTGAGTTCAGAATTGTCCAGCTAGTTGTTTCTCCTTGCCCTAGAGACTCCGCCAGTGCATACTGTTGAGAGACCACCTTGTTGCCACCATGTCTCACAGCTGAATCCACTATGGTAGTAGAACATTCATGTCCTTAAGATGCAAGGCCTAGCAAAAAGCCTCCCACAAAGCCACTGGATATCACAATGTTCTGTTTGATAAATTCTGTTGCCTGAAACAAAGTTTACACAAAAATACTCTTAGTTATGCTACCATATGGATGAACCTTGAAAACATCATACAAAGTGAAATGAGACAGAGAGAAAATGACAAATATTATATGACTGCACTTATATGAGTATTCAAATATATAGTCAAAAAGCAGAACAGAGATTACCAAGGACTGGGGAGAGGGGGAGATTGTAGGAATTAGTGTTAATGGGCATAGAGCTTGGGATGATGAAAAAGTTCTGGAAATGGATAGTGGTAATGAATGCACAAAAGTGTGAATGTACTTAATGCCACTGAATTTTACACTTAAAAATGGTTAACAGGCCGGACTCGGTGGCCAAAGTGCTGGGATTACAGGTGAGTGGATTGCCTGAGCCCGCGGGTTCAAGACCCGCCTGGGCAACTTGGCGAGACCTCATCTCTACAATAAATCAAAAAATTAGCCGGGCATGGTAGCGCGTGCCTGTAGTTCCAGTTACTTAGAAGGCTGAAGCAGAAGGATCGCCAGAGCCCAGCAGGTCGAGGCTGCGGTGGCTGGGAGCGGCCACTGCACTCCAGTCTGGGCGACAGTGAGACTCCAACTCAAAAACAAAAAAAAATGTTTAGCACAAATAAAATGAGGAAGCCATTCGACAAAGCCAGACTGTGAGATATTCTGCCTAGAAGCTTCAAAGATGTCAGTGCCATGAAAGACAGGGAAAATAAAAACAGATGAGAGGACTGTTTAAGACGAAAGGAGTCTTCGTAGACATGACAACCAAATATAATATATAATTCTTTTTTTTTTTGAGTTGGAGTCTCACTTGGTCACCCAGACTGGAGTGCAGTGGCCACTTCCGGCCACTGCAGCCTCGCCTGCTGGGCTCCGGTGATCCTTCCGTCTCAGCCTTCCGAGTAGCCAGAATTACAGGCGTGCACTACCACGCCCGGCTGATTTTTTGATTTATTGTAGAGATGAGGTCTCGCTGCCCAGGCGGGTCTCGAACCCGCGGGCTCAGGCAATCCACTCACCTCAGCCTCCCAAAGGCGCGGGATTACAGGCTGAGCCACCGAGCCCGGCTATATATAATTCTTAATTGAGAACTCAAAACATTTTAGTAAAAACTATATTGTTAGAAAATACTGTATCAAGTTAAATGTTTTGGATTAATAATGGTATTTATAGTAGTGTAATAGAATATGTGTACTTTTGTTTTTGAGTTGAAGGCTCACTCTGTCGCCCGGGCTGAAGTGCAGTAGCATACTCATGGCCACCCCAGCATTGACCTGCTGGGCTCCAGCAATCCTTCCGCCTCAGCCTTCCAAGTAGCAGGAACTAGAGGCGCATGCTACCACGCCCATCTAATTTTTTTTATTTTATGTAGAGATGAGGTGTTGCCCAAGCTGGTCTTGAACCTGTGGACTCAGGCAGTCCTCTCGCCTTGGCCTCCCAAAGTGCTGGGATTACAGGCTTGAGTCACCACGCCTGGCCAATATATGTATTCTTTTTTTTTCTTTTTTTTTTTTTGAGTTGGAGTCTCACTCCATCGCTCAGACTGGAGTGCAGTAGCATGCTCCCAGCCACTGCAGCCTTGACCTGCTGGGCTCCTGCGATCCTTCCACCTCAGCCTTCTGAGTAGCTGGAATTACAGGCATG